GAGTCCAAGTGAGGCGCTCAGGCTAGCCGCTATCATCCTCGTAATGCCAGCAAGGTACATCACAACAGATGCTAGTACAGACTGTACTGGCTGGTTCGAATATCTTGGACGGAGTGCAGGATGCACCTCTTCAATGGGCTCGTCCTCATGTTCCAGAACACGTAGACCTGGTTTGGCTCTGGCTTGGGTCTTGTCGACGCATTTGCTGATCAGCAGGGAGGCAAAGTCTGATTCGTCGAGCAAACCAGTGATAGCACGCTTGCCTTCGAGATGATCGTTCTCTATCAGGTCTGTGAAGTTGTCCAACAGCCTGATCAACTGCTCTTCTGTAGCTGACCTGTCCACATGCTCTGGTAGATTGAAACTCTTGATCGTCCTTCTGAACCAAGCTTGTTGTGTTTCAGCCGTGAGGTCAACGTAGCTTTGCAGTAGGGTGTAGACATGTTCCTGCACGTTTGCAAAGGCAGGCAGTGCGAAACGTTCCTCTTGGCGCCGCTTTGGGTTGAGGGTTTAGGATTTTGGGGGACAAGACGCGGTGAAGGGCTTTGGGTTTCAGGCTCTTGCTTCAGGGTTGAGGCTTTGACAAGGAACATAGGATGTAGAGATTAGGGGCGCCTTAGCAACTTGCTAGAGACCCCAGGGCCCCCTAACTAAGGGAAAGTCATGATATGGAGAAAAAGGGCACCCCACACCCGGAAAAGCAAACACCAGGCCCTCAATCAACAAAAGCAAAGAAGTGCCCTCTACTGGCCTAGATAACTGGGCTGCAGCTCACCGTAACGACACTGATTCTGATTCTAGCATCTTCTTACTAACCCTGACCCAAGACTCGCAACCCTAACCCCCCAGACCCCAACCGCCCTAAACCCTAAGCACTAAACCCTAAACCCAAAACCCTAATTAATTGAACCCCCAAAACCCTGCCATGCTGCTGGCGCCCAAACCATCGCCGCGGCAAGCAGAAGCAGTCGGATAGACCCATGGCTCAAAACCCGCCACCATAAACCGTCTATGCATACCCTACGTAACCCACTGCTTCAGGGCCACATTAGGGGTTTAGGGTTTAGGGGTTTTAGGGTTTATAGGGTTTAGGGTTTAAAGTTTAAAGAATACCTTGGGGAGGGGGGGGGCGTTCTGTTCAAAACTTGCCCTGAACCTGAGTCATGAAAAGCCTGGCCCTTAACCCTAAACCCTGAAACCTTCGTGTGTATTGGGTATATGACTACATGGGACGTGTAAAAGCAGGAACTGCCACCACTAATTTCTCAGACCTCTTGGACTCTATGAGTCAGGAACTGCAGTGCACCCTGCAAGACCCTTGCATTAAAAAGCCCAGGTAGCTACTACCGATACGTCGCACGTTGCCGCCGACGTAAACGACTAGAATGCAGGTCTTGGTTTGCTTGTCTGGGATAGTGCGAGGATGGAGATGGCGGTGGCGTAGTATTTTCTGAAGATTTCAGTAGCATCGGAAGGCTGCTAGTATTGCCGGTTGGGATGTGAGTTTCAAGAAAAGCATCGTACCTTGCGTCAGCCAAGAGGAGGCGTGTGTGCACGCGGTTGAGAAAAATCGTGGATACCACTGGAACTGCAGGCTGCTGTCGAATTCTAAGCACCTCTAAGCCGACTTGTAACCAGGTAGGGTTTAGGATTCGGGGTTTAGGGCCAGGAATCGAACCCAAAAAAACACGTACCAGCTTTCTTCGACGCTGTCTTTAGGGTATGAAAAGGGTCTGAAAACCCGAAACACGACACGTATACCAAAATAAACAGAGTATAATATACTGAGTATAATATACCGCCCAAAACCCTATTCTAATTTATTAAGGCCCCTACATTCTGTCTTTTACCATCGCCGAGGGCCGGCGGGCGTAGGTTTCGATCCCGGCACAGCAGCATTCCTGAGCTGCCAGAAACCGTCAAATTTGTTCTTACACGGTTTAGGGCTTAGCGTTTTTGTCAAGCCCAGAGAGCCAGAAGACAACTCGACCCTAAGCCCTAAACCCTAAACTCGAAACCCTAAACAATCCCGCAACCCCGAACCCTGGGCCATGAATTATCAGATCCTTAAGGGAGAGTGGTTCAAGCGGGGAGGGTCCTAGGGATCCTTAGGGAGCTTTAGGGAACCTAAGGGAGCCCTAGGGATAATTGGGGATTATTGGGTTATGTACCCCTCTTAGAACCCCCCCCCCTTTTAGGATCCCATAAATGAAACCGGCAAACCCGGTACTTTCCAACTCCTCGGCTGCAGGCTCAAGGCAAGAGCCCGACCACAACGGAAGCGAAGACTGATCCCAAAGGAGGTCGAGGGCTATCATCTTGATTGGAAATTAGGGCTTTGGGGGTTAGGGTTTTGGGGGCTATCATCTTGATTGGAGATTAGGGTTTTAGGGTGTAGGTTTTAGGGATTTGGGGGTTCAGGGGTTTAGGGTTCGGGTTGGGGATTTGCAGTTTAGGGCTTGGGTTTTGTATGTAAACACCAAATTTTCAAGGCAAGCAAGCAAGACCCTCCAACAATTGTCGACTCCCCAGCCCAAATCCGGGACCCAAACACCCTAGACCCTAAACCCTAAACCCCAAACACCAACACTCCCCTTCAAACCAAAGATCCGAAAACCATCATAAAAACCCAGCAAAAAATAAAATAAACTAAAAAAACAAAGACCGAGTTCGAAAACCAAAAGCCATCCTAAAACCCAAGAAAAAAACACAACCGGCAGAGTTCGAAGAGCAAGTTACCAAAATCAAACCCCGATAGCCGGGGCTCTTCAGAACCCAGAGTTGCCTCAGGAATCCGTCGAAGTCCTCGTCTTTTAGGGTTTAGGGTTTAGGGTCTCCAGGGGGCTTTTGGCTCTGCGAAGGACATGCGGCATTAAGGGTTGAAGGTCTTCGGGTGTAGAGGGTTAAGGGTTGGGGGTCTTAGGGTGCAAAGGGTTTTGGGTTTAGGGTCTTAGGGCGTAGAGGGTTAAGGGTTGAGGGTCCTGGGGTGCAAAGGGTTCAGGGTTGGGGGTCTTAGGGTGCAAAGGGTTTAGGGTTTAGGGTCTTAAGGTGTAGAGGGTGTAGAGGGTTAAGGGTTGAGGGTCTTAGGGTGCAAAGGGTTTAGGGTTGGGGGTCTTAGAGTGTTAAGCGTTTAGGGTTGGGGGTCTTAGGGTGTTAAGGGTTTAGGGTTGAGGGTCTTAGGGTGTTAAGGGTTTAGGGCCTTACGGCATTGAGGGTCTTAGGGTTTAGGGTTTAGGGTTTAGGGGTGCTGCTTTGAGCGAGGGGGAGAGAGGGAGAGGCAACACCTGCTTCTGAGGGTGCCAAGATGGAGCGGCTCAGCCAGAGACTCCGATCGATGACCACTGAGGTGGCCGCGAAGACTTCTTGAGAGAACCCTAAACCCTAAAAGGCGAGACGGGGGCTAGAAATGCTGAAGCCCTGGACCCCGAACCCCGAAGCCCTAAACCCTGAGCCCAAATCGCTGGAACCGAAAACACCAATATTTTTTCAGTCAACCCGAAAGCTGGGACCGAAGATCCTTCAAGCTATGGTAGCTTTAGGGTTTAGGGTTTAGGGCCTTTAGGGTTTAGGGTTTAGGGTTTAGGGTATTCCATGCCATGCTTGGGATCGCAGCAGGATCCTCTTTTTGAATACCTCGAAATAAGGTGCTACTAGTTTTGAGAGCATTATACCTAAACATTGAACCCTAAACCCTAACCCTAAACCCTAAACCCTACCCCAAAACCCTAAACCCTAAAAGCCCTAAACCCTAAAAACCCTAAATCCTAAAAGGCCTAAACCCTAAACCCTAAAAACAATCAACCCTAAAAACCCTAAACCCGAAAGCCCTCTGGTAAAGCTGTCCTCTGATTCCGCAGAGCACTGCTCTACCCATGCGGGGGTAATGCCTCGCCCCGAACCACAGAGCCTGGCGTCGGACTTAGTGAACAATTTTTTGGGGGTTCAGGGCTTAGGGTTTTAGGGTCTAGAATTTAGTGAAGGGGGTTCAGGGCTTAGGGTTTCAGGGTCTAGAATTGTGAAAATGTGGGGTTTTAGGGTTTAGGGTTCGGGGTCTGTGAAGGCTGCAGGGCTTAGGCTTTTTTAGGATTCAGGGCTTGGGGCTTTAGGGTCTTAGGGTCGCGGGCATCTAAGGCTTAGGAGGTTTGGGGGTTCAAAGCTTTAGAGATCTACTACAGTTACTAGTACTAGCAGCAGCAGCAGCAGCCGGAGGAGGAGGAGGAGGAGTAGCAGCAGTAGCAGTAGTAGCAGTAGTAGTCGTCGTCGTGGTGGTGGTGGTGGTGGTGGTCACAGTGGTGGTGGTGGTGGTAGTGGTGGTAGTAGTAGTAGTAGTAGTCGTCGTCGTCGTCAAAATAGTAGTACTCGTACTAGAAATAAGAGGAGGAGGAGGCGAAGGAGGAGGAGGAGGAGGAGTAGCTGTAGCAGCTGTAGTAGTAGTCGTTGTTGTAGCAGCAGCACAAGCAGCAGCGTTGATCAAATCACAAATTTCAATCCTAGGACTAACAACAGTGTTATTACTAATACTGATACTAATAAAACGAATGGTAAGAGCCATAATGAAATATGTAGCAATCAAGCTCCAGCTCGGATGCCTCCCACTGTAGCCAAGCAGCTATGGCACAAATGGGCCCCCACAAAGTGAGATAGTGGTCGGTGTGCGGCTCTGTGTTTAATTGGCGAAGGTCTGGTTCGAGTGCGTGCGGCCCGGAAGCCTACACCCTGAACCCTAAACCCTTAGATCCCGACCCTACACCCAAAACCCCGAAGCCTAAACTCAAAAAGAACCGACACCTTAAAGCCTAAACCCTTAGATCCCAACCCTACACCCAAAACCCCGAAGCCTAAACTCAAAAAGAACCGACACCTTAAAGCCCAACCTGCTACACTCCCTAGACCCAACCCTAAACCCTACTGGCTTTAAAGGCCCTAAAGGCCCCAAAGGCCCTAAAGGCCCTAAAGGCCCTAAACCCTAAAGGCCCTAAACCGAGGCAGCAGTTCCTGGCCTTTCGGCCTCCGCAGCTGCATGCTGGGGCAGGTCACAGTCTCTGCAGATGTAGTGCTTCGCCATCAGAAGAAGTGTCTCGGCGTCCTGGGCGGTTAGGGTTTAGGGTGTTTTTTGAACTCCTTTTTGGGCCTGCCCGATCCACCAAGCAAATCCAAGATGCATATGCATCAGGAGACTCACCGGGCATTACCAGCGAGCTTTGAAAGAGCAAAAGAACGAAACCCCTCAGTGGAACTTCGGCACGGTCAACCCTCAATCACCCTCTTCATCGTCAGGCACAGCAGACCCTGCATCCTCTGTTTAGGGTTTAGGGTCTAGCGTTCATGGCTTAGGGTTAGGCCTTGATGTGTAAGGTTTAGGGCTAAGTGCGTGTGATAAACTCCATGCACAGGTGCTTCGACTCCGGAAGGCTGTTTTTGTTTGAAAGAAAAAAGGTAGGTCAGTGACCGCTCACGAGGATTTCAGCTGTGCTAACCAGGTTTGGTAGGGTTGTAGTCCTGTCAGCGATAATCTCTCTTAAGTTATCTTCACGTAGGTTATCAGCCGTAGTGGCTTAGCTAACGGTGTTAGTTTGGGCTATCTTGTTCTGAACAATAGGTTACGTAACCGCTGTTTCCGGAGACCGGGCCATGGATTCGTTGATAAGACGAAGAGGCTCAGTGGTCAAGGAGCCGGAGGATGCCAGTGTGGCAGTGGAACCAGATTATGCTGCAGCCTTGAGTCAGGCGGGGACTTCGGAAGTCCCTGGCGCCGGCCGGGGTGACCTGCCGGTGAATGGCCTTCGGGCAGGGGAGGTTTCCCCCGGGACTCTAGAGTCCGGAAAGGGAATGGGAAAGCCTGTTAGTAGTGAACTTCCGATGGCGAACCCGTTCCATAGTGACAAGGTGAGGGCCGAAGTGGACCTTATTCGAAGCCGGCCTGTGACGTTAGACGTGGACGCCAACCGTCTGGGGTTTGAAGCAGAAGGCCCTGCTTTGGGTGAGGTGGGAGGAAGGTTCCCAACGGAACCCAACTATTCAGCAATGGTTGGAGTGGATCCCGCGAGCGAGGAGGTCCCTAGAGTGGCTAGGGTGGAAGCTTCGGCGGGTTCTCCTTCACGGGAATCAGCTTCTGGAGAAGTGGTTCAGGAGACCAAGGAGCCGTTGGTTCAAGAAGTCCGGACTGGGAGTCGAGGTGGGCCTGGAACTATGGTAGAAGCCGAGGAGCCTCAGCGTTTCAGTGCGGGGCCTGTAGAACAGGCTGAGCCAGATGAGCGGGAGTTGATTCCAGTCGAGCTGGATAGGTTGGGCCGGATGGAAAACTTACTGCTTCAAGTGATGGAGGAGAATAAATCTTTGAAACGTCGACTGGAGACTGAATCGAGATCGCATTCTTCGTGGTATAGTGGAGGAATGGCGCTTGAGCAGCCGTTCTCTCCCGCCACTTTCGGTCAGAGACCGGAAGAAGCTCATAGGTTTCTGTCGGCCGATTTCCTGGGGTCAGCGGCTGTAAGTGGGTATGAGGTTGGTTTCTCCGAGGTAGAGATGGGTGGTGCGGGTGTCTTTCGAGGGGTGCCGCACTCTTGGTCGGGGCCTAGGCTAGAGGCGCAGGTTGGGAGTCTTGTACCGGGGTTCAATCCTCAGGGCTTTGGGGCCTTTCCTCAAGGACCGGTAGAAGAAATCCAGCCGAAGCGAGCCATACCGCCTCCACCCCTACCTTTGCCTCCTGGGCCTGCAACTGAAGCCCCTTCAGCAACCGAGCAACCTCAGACTATGACGCAGTTCGCCGAAGTTATGTTAGGAAGGGGATCAAGTTACCATACCCCAAGGACCAATAACAGTGGAGGGAGCAAGATAGATGCTCACGGGTACCCCGTATCTCCTGGGGGCACGGTGATTCGACCGCCGCCTTCACCACCGAGCTCCTTGGCAAGGGCGCCGTCGTTGATGCAAGGTGCGCCTGTTCTGGGGGGCTTGGGATCGACCTTTCATGGAGAAAGAGGGAGTTCGGGGGATGTTCGTCCTGAGGAGCCTGCTAAGTACATATCCGAATTACCTAAGCTTCCCGCAGCAGATTTGGCTAGCAGTGCTGTAGTTTGTGGGAATTGGTTAGCTCAGGTAAGGCAGATTTTTCAGGGATTGTCTCCTACGGCGGATGTTTGGTTTGCTGCGGTAGAGTTGGGGGCTAGCCAGGGATACAACAAGTGGTTAACGGCAGATCCTCTGGGTAGGCTTGCTTTGGATCCAGGGTCTATAGTGGCTAAGTATGATCATGTTCGTTTCCAGCGGGTTGAAAGTAGGGCAGTGAGCTTGTTGCTAGCTTCTCTTCCGGCAGCGGTGAAAGATGATATCATCATGAATAGGTGGCTCTCTACCCCGGCTATCTTGTTCAGGATCTTGTGTTTGTACCAGCCTGGAGGAAGCACTGAAAGGGCTCACTTATTGAGCCAGCTGGTTACACCAGAGATATGTAAGAGTTTCCCTGAAGCGGTTCGCATTCTTCGTAAGTGGCAACAGAGTATGCAGAGAGCTGCAGAAGTCGGGGCATCACTTCCAGACGCATCCTTACTCCTTAAAGGAGTGGATGCCGCTACCGTATCCCTTCTCTCTTCGAATCCGATGATTGCCTTCCGGGTCAACTCTTTCCGTCATAGTGTTGCTTTGGACTATAATCCAACAACAGTTGGGGTGACTCAACTGGTGAGGCTCTTGCAGGCGGAAAGCGAGGCTGTGGCGCTAGTAGATAGCTCGTCGGGTTCGGATAAGCGGGCTAAAGCCGCAGCGATCAGCACGGCAAAGGATTCGGGGCCTGTTCGACCTCCGCCCCCTCCACCGCCGAAGGCGGTGACGGAGGCTAGCGTGGCAGCAGTAGGAGCAGGTTCAGGGGATAAGAAGGGTAAGGGCAAGGGTAAGGCTGAAGGTGCTGTTCCGGGATGCTACAAGTTTGCGGATGGTTCCGGGTGCAAGTTTGGGGATTCTTGTATGTTCAAGCATGATCGGTCCAAGGCTAGAAAGGATGGACGATGCTTAGCGTGTGGCCAGCCGGGTCACTTTCGCCCAGATTGCCCATTAGTTGCTCCGGAGAATCGGCCAGTTGTTAATGAACAAGGGGCTGAGGGATCACCTAGTTCGTCTGGGGGTCGGGGTACTGGGAAGGCAAAGGCCAAGGCTAAGGCTGGGGTCCAAGCTAAGGGGGTGACAGAAGATACTGGAGCCAAGGGTGATGTAGCTGCAGGGGCGGCCGGCAGCGCCGCTGCAAGTTTGAACTCCACTGTTACTCAAGAGGCTCTGGTAGCGGAAGCGGCCAAGCTTCTTAAGGGGGTGTCGTTGAGGGCTCTTAGGCTAGAGGGTGTTGATGATGCTTGGCTTAGGAGTGAATTAGCCTCGGCTTCGGATCCTGAATTTTGTCTGGTGGACAGTGGTGCCACCAACGCTCTCCGTCCAGCAGGGTACCAAGAGCTTGAAGGATGTAAGGTGATTCATGTTGACCTTGCTTCGGGTGGTACCGATCTTAGGATCAACGATTACGGAACCCTGCTGCATTCGGGTCAGTGCCAAGTGATTTTGCCTGCGAGCTATCTTGTTGAGCTCGGGTACCTCATTTCCTGGAGGAAGAAGGGGTGTAAGATTAGGCATCCGAGGAGGGGTTGTCTTGATGTTACCGTGGTTAAGGGTTGTCCTCTGATTCCTCGGGCCTTAGGGTTGAAGCTGTTGCAGGAGTACGAGGAAAGAAGGGCTGGAAAACCATTGCTGAGTAAGGCCGAGACTGAGGATTTGGGTACTATCCTAGAGCCCCGGGATGCACGTGAGTGGTTGAGGTTCAGGCTAGCTCAGCGTTCGGGGTCGGGGCTTACTGAGGTGGATCAGTTGGTTTTCCTAAGGGCTATGTTCCCAGGGGTTAAGTTGCAGGCTTTGGTGAAAGCGTGCGTGCCGGTCTTGGAAGAAGGGCCGACGGATTGGTCTGAGTTGCCTTGGAACCGAAGGTTTCGGAGGTCAGTTGAGAGAGGGGGAAGAGCAACGGCTATGGTAGCGATTGAGCCTTTTTCGGGCACTTGGAAAGGTATGGGAAGGGTGATATCGGTTGCAGATTCGGAGAAGGGACTAGGCTCTAAGCTGGTCTTTCAGTTGTTGATGCGCTGGGCTGGTGCTGGGGCTGGGGTAATTGGCGCGGTGGTAAAAGGGGCTAACGGTAGGTGTGAGGAGGCGGGAGGTCCGAAGGTTCTTCAAGGAGAAGGATTGATTCGGATGCTACGGTGTTTCCTTATATTTGCGGTAGCTCAAGCAGCTGCAGGGCAGGAGGACTCCAGCCAGCCGTCCTCCGGGGGCTTATCATCAGCAAATTCTGGGGCTTTGGAGTCTCTGGAGGAGTGGGCAGTGCGCCGAGCAGCCGTGAATTTGTCCGTGTTACCTACTCCAGCGCCTAACCAGGGTGCTGAAGGCCAGGTCTTTCTAGCCTTTGAACCGGTGGAGATCGACAGTCACATTCATCCTTTGGGGTCAAGGGTTTCGGGTCCGGAAAAGGGGTGGTTGAGGTTGTTGGTCGAGGAGTATGGGTTAAATGTGGCTTGTTTTGATCAAGGGTGTTTTGGGGCTTCTGGTGTATGGGATTCAAAAGTGGTTACCTCTTCGTGGTTCCTTTATGAAACATTGCATATGGTGCGAGCTGAGGGTCAGGCGAAAGCAGCGCTGGAAGCTGTAGGAGCTCTAGGACTGGGCCAAGGCCTAAAGGGGGTTGGCTGGGTCACGACCTTATTGAGGCTTGTGCAAAGGGCATGGATGCTTTGGAAGTGGGAACAGGAGAACCAGGCCGAGGTGGAAGGAAGGAGAGCGATCCTGAAGAAACTTTCCGAGCAAGAGTCTATGGAGTGCCATATTGCAAATGATCATGTTCCTTATCGTAAGGGGTGTCCTATATGTATCAGAGCCCAAGGAAGACAGCGCTCGCATTGGAGAAGTGGGTTCCCGGTAGTTCACTCCCTTAGTGTAGACGTGGCAGGACCGTTGATTTCAGGTTTGTCTTGGAATGTGGAGTCCAGTGGGCGTGATCGGGGAAAGGGGTACAAGTATTTCTTAGCATGCGCCTATACCGTACCTAAGGGATATGAG